TCGCGGGTTGCGGCTTTTAAGCCTGGGGTGTGGGGCTCCAAGAGAGCCCTCTCACACCCCTTAAGTCAGGAATATATCTCGAACCAGGGTAACCCTGAGATTGTAACCTGAAGCTGTCTAGGCTTGAAAAGACATTCCTGAATGAAAGCTTATTCGGCTCTTTGGATGCGGTGCTGCGCTCGGAGATTCGAGGCCCAATACGTCTTTGGTACACATGTTTACATGATAAAGACCCCTTCAGACAAGTACCTATGAGCCCGACACCCGAAAACCTTAAGCCTCATATCCAAAGTCCCAAAACCTCTGAACCCTGGAGCCCTTAAGCCAGCAAACCCTAAACCCTGAACCCTAAATCCTGAACCCTGTAAGCCGTAAACACTGCCAGGTCACAGAGAATCTCGAAGCAACCAGCGGCCGGCGCGGCAAACCGTCGTACATGGCACCGTGGCTTCATATGGGGGTTTCCGAAAATAGGGGACCCTTACATGGCACCCTAAATAGTAGGATCCTTATTATAAGGACCCCCGAAATCAGGCACCCCTAATTTCGGACACTCCCATATGCCTCCCCTCGAACCCCAGTCACCTAGTCTGAAATGGGTAGTTGTCAAAATTATGGTCCCTTTTTGGGTACCCTAAATAATGGGTGCCGTATTATAATAGGGACCAAACAGGGGACCCTAATTTTGACAACCACCCAAATAGCCCAAAACTCCTTTATTTCGGAATGTAGCTTGCAGTATATAGGGCATAATTTTGTATTCTAATTTGTTTCCTGGCTCAAGGGGTACACTCTGTTAAGGCCCTAGACCCCACACTCTTTGCTTGTGATAGTCTGAAATCGCTGCGATCCTTAATTACGGATGTAAACCGGATGCTGCCCCCAGCTCACACTGAGTTTGACACTCGTTCTCTCATTTCGCTCATTCCGATTATCCTCCACCGAAGACCCGAAGCCCTAAACCTGACCTTAACCCTAAGCTCTAAGCCCGGACCCCCTTCAGGGTTTAGGGTTTAGGGGTGCAGGGGTTTAGGATTTAGGGTTTTAGGGGTTTAGGGTTTAGGGACCTCCCAACGCGAGAAGACCTTCGCCCTAAACTGAAGAGCCCGAAACTCTTGACCACCAGGACTTACATGCGTAACCTTGAAACCTTCACCTCCGACACCCGCAAAATCCTAAGCCTCCAGACGCCAAAACCGTAATCTCGAAGCTTACGTAAGTAGTCATATATATATATACATATATATATATATATATATATATATATAAATTTGTGTGTATACATATATGGAAGAATACGTCCATGTATTCGGGCCTCTTCAGTGCACCTCGATCCGGAACTCTTGCTGTGTAACGTCGTGGCATGCGATGAGCTTCATACTCATCCGGAATTATTAGAGCTTCAGGGCGGAGGGCACGGGTTCAAAAAGGGCGGAGGGCTAGGGGTTTCGATTTTTGAGCCAGGGAGGGAGGGTTCAGGGTTTAGGGTTTAGGGGCTTAGGCTGGCAGCGGTCTTTGACATTGTTGAGTGGCCTATTGTTGGGATGTGGGTCGGGGGCTGCAGGTGAGGTTGGTTCTGTCCCATGAGAACCCCGATTAAGACACCACTAAACCCCAGCCAGCTGGTTGCTATTTCCAGAAAACCCTGTTGAGAGGCCTGCTGTTCAAAGGCACTACGCATTGCCAGAAAAGCAGTCAAACAAACTACAATGAACTCCCTATCGCGAACCTTCAAGTGTGCCCTGAGGCACCAGAGATGTTCACGGTGCGCCAAGAGCCTTTTTCCCGCCTTGCTTTCTGGGAAAGCGAGGGTTTAGGTGACTTAGAGGATCATGGGGCTTAGTAACTATAGGGTTATAATTAAGGTAACTATACTTATATTTACTTATAACTTATAACCCCAATTACAGTACTTAACCATACTTACTAAGTCCCATGATCCTCCAAGTAGGGTTTGGGTTAGGGCTTCGAGCTTCCAGGCTTTTGGGGCTTTGGGGGAGTCAACGTTTAAGCGATGTAGGGTTCGAGGGGTTAGGGTTTCGGAAATTTCTGGCCTTAGGGTTTAGGGTTTAGGGTCACTCCACCATTACTGTTTTGGTTTACTGGTATCTTTATTGTTGTTTTCATGGCATTCCCGGCAGCCAACGCCTCCAGCATGAGATTTGGGGCCTTCGTGGAGGATTCCCCGGAGGGCCAGGGCCAGTGCTTAGAGATTGTGAGTCCGGCTTTGCTCTAACACAAAGGGGAAAAGGAGGGACCCTTAATGGGGACCCCTCCCTGTAATGGGCAAAATAATGGGTATATAATAGCTGTATTAATTAAGGGTATATACCTAGGGGTCCTTATTAAGGGTCCCCCTTTTTACCCTTGGACTAACACTTATTCCATGATCTGGCCTCGGCCGGAGGCTTAGCTCCGCGAAGCGCCGAAAGCCTGCCGACCCCATCCCTAAACCCTTAAACCCTAGACCCGAAGCCAAAATTGAGCCCGATGCTCTATGAGCTGAATTTCAAGGAATGTAGTTGAGGGTCTTCCAGGAGACAGAAGGGTTTTTTATGTGGTTCATTTCGGGGTGTATGAGGGGGTTTGTAGGTTTAAGATTCTACAGGGTTTTATTAGGGCTGTGGACAGGGTTTTTGGGATCTGATCTAAGGCACCCAGACATTGCAGAGGTTTCTGTCATGCCGCCGCCCTTTCCCGGCTGCGATAGCCTGGTGACAAGACTTTTAGGATCCTCAAGCAGACCCTAAATCCTAAACTGTACACCTAAATCCGAAACACTAAACCCTAAGCCTTAAATCCTAAACTTCACACCTAGAGTTTAGGTTTTAGGGTTGAGTTGTTAGGGTTTAGGATTTAAGGTTTAGGGTCCCCAAACTGGCCCTAAACCCCAAACCCTAAACCCCTAAACGACTAAATCCTTGACCCTCAAAGCAGCAGGACCTACAACAGCGAGCCAGACCTGAACACCTTTAAACCACCGAACGTTAAATTCCAACTAGAGGGTTTAGGGGTGCAGGGTTTAGGGTTTAGGCTTTTAGGGTACTCTACACCCTAAGCCCTGAATGCTAAACTTTAAATACCTTTAAACTTCCGAACCTCCAAGCCCAGACTCTGAACCCAAAGCTTGTGAGCCTCAATGCTAAACTTTAAACCAGAAAAGAGCTTATCGGCATCCCCGCAGCTGCCATGCGCCGCACTCCGAACAGCTTCGAGGCTGCTGATTGTTGTGGAGGTAAAGCCAAATCCCTGGCCCTAAAGCTTTAACGCTGAAATTTCGGGTGCTTGAACTCTTCTAGCTTCGGGGCTTAGATTTTCTCTGATGGCCTAGTCCTTGTATCGTCATGATGGGGTAGCATCTGCGCCAAGCCTGCTTCGAAGTATGCAGGGTCCCTCCAGATATATAAGTTTGGTGTTCAGGGTTTCGGGTTTTCATCAGTTAGTCTTAAAGCCTGTATATAATCTCTCAACTTGGAAGCCAGCGCGGATTTTGGCACAACGTCGTGGGGGGTCGAACTTTTCTCTTAACCTGTATTACAATCTAATCCGTTTTACTGCAATACCCCAGATCCCTGTTCTATTCTATTGATTAAGGCCCCTGCAATGCTGAAGGAGCTTCCAGTTGCTGAGGAAGGAGGCCACGCTGCTGCTGTAGCACAGCTGGAAAGGCTCGATCGGGTTCAGCCTTTAAGGTTCAGGTTCAGGGTTTAGGGTATAGGGCTTAGGGTTCAGGGTTTAGGGTTCAGGGTTTAGGTTTAGGGTAGAGGGTTCAGGTGTACCTCCAGAGTTGCGGAAGTATCACCATTGACATGCTTGCCAGCAAGTCAGTAGTATTGAAGTAAGTCAGTATGTACGTATGTATGGCAGGTGGCTAAGTAGGTAGTTTGGTAGGTGGTAGGTAGGCAGGCGCAGGTAGGTAGGTAGGTCGGGAGGTAGGAAGGAGTGTACGTACGTCTGTTTCTGAGTTTCGTTTGGAATCGATCTTGGGTTGCGGGTCTTTCTGCCTAAATGACACAAATCCGAACTGCACAGCCTGGACCTCAAGCCATCGCACCTAAGCGAAGCTCTAAACCCTGAATGCCAACTCCAACAACCCAAATCGCAAAGGCTTCGGCTTAAAGGGGGCTTGAATGAATTGCAACATTTTCACGTAGGAGTCCCTCGTATGAGTGTAGTGCAATATTCTCCAAAACCCCATTCTGTTTATCAGCCCTTCCAAGCATGAAATGCGGAAACACTTTTTTGGGATCACCCATAACCTTTACAAGACTGAGTTCGAATGATTTCCGCCTCCGTTTTTTGGGGTAGGATGGCTTCATCAGGGGCGAGGCTCAGGGTTTCGTGGGCTCAGCATTTTTGAGCTCAAGGTTTTGGGTTTGGGGTTTTAGGGTTCAGGATGTGGGGTTTGGGCTTTAGGATTCTCCGGTACAGAGGCGCAGGGCTTTAAGTTTTGGGGGGCTTCCCCAAACCTTAAACCCTAGACCCTAAAACTCAGCAGAGAGTCTCTTGTTGAACTTTTGCTGTCAGGTGCGTGGAGACGTACCACTGGCAGCTGCTTGGATACTGGCCTTACCTATACTATTTTGGCGGTTCCTTATCATAACCATAGCATTATGGGGCCCAAAACCCTGTTCTAACTATGAAGGCCCTTATATTACGTTACCCTAATTTTAAAACCTACATCCCCAAAAGGCCAAAGCCTTGTGGGGCTTGGGATGTCGGATGTTGCTCCAAGTGCGGAACTCGAATCCTCAGTTCTCGACGAGGAGGGATTGGGGTTTACAGAGTCCCGTCTTGTTAACCCTAAAGCTCAACGGCCAACTCCGGGCCGTTCGCATGCCTTGCGCAAGCTGAGGTGGCGTGTTTGCTTCAGGCGCGTCAGGCGTTGCCGAGGTAGAGAGTTTAGGGATCTACGGGTCTGAGCAGCAAGTATTACGCCTGAGCAGCCTTGTCGCGCATGGGCGTGATTCGTCCAGAAATATCCAGAAATTGTAGCACCCATGGAGCTCCTAGCTTTAAACTCTAGACTACCACAAAAAGCCTCAAAGGGCTGGAGCAAGTCTGACAGGTCTATGGCAGTCATGCTGATCCTCCTACATCTGCTCTACTTGATAGCAGCCGATCTGCAGCTGGACGCGACAGCATTTCCACTGCTACCAGACTGCAACTCTGCGTCCTAAACGCCTATGCCTCAGACCCTAACACCCTAAACATGTCTGTAGGTCCCTAAGCCCTAAACCCTCTTGAACCCTTATAGAAAATCTCGTAACCCCCAGGCAAGCCCTGTAAATGTCGCAAATGCCCCAGCAAGGCCGCTCTACATGCCCATCAAAATTCCCTTAGAAGAGTAGGTTTCGGGGTTCAGGGCTTGGGGCTTGGGGTCTAAAAAACCCTAAACCCTAAACCGTCGGTGTCGGGTTTAGGGTTTAAGGGCTTCGGGGCTTCAGACCTTGGACCAAGGCTATCTCTGTGCCTGGCGCCCTTCGCAGTGAACCCACTTGCCATGGCACCAGCATCCTCACCGGTGAGGCGGGTTTCGGGCATAGGATCAAATAACTAGGTTGGAGTTTGGGACATGTTTTATTTTCCTTATTTGGGTTTATAAGGGACCCTATATATAAATATTTTTAAGGGAGTTTCAAGGCCAACCCAGATAATCTAATGCAAACTTCAAAAGCCCCTGATGCCTTCAAGTCGACGTATGCCCCCGAACTTTAGGCGGCCTCCGAACATCCAAGTCTGAGGAATCAAAGTACATTTGTGGCTGTTCCTAAGGGTCAAGTAGGGATCCTCGTGGATTTACTCGGGGCTGTTCTGCCCTGTGTGTGCTCTTGACTCTTGACTGTATGCCCACGTTGCAAGAGCTAAACCCCCATCAGTCCTCGTATGACCCTAAACGCTATACATCTTTGGCGAATCCCAAAATCAAGATGCAACCTTGCCGGGCTCCAACAATCCCAATTCCGAAGCCTTTCCAAAGCCTTGCAAGCTCTTCTCGACGTCCTTAGGGTTCAGGGTTTAGTGTAACAAGGCTGTGACGATGCCAGGTATTGATTTCGCGTTTGGCGTAGCAGCTCTGTCAATCGGTAAGCCCTAAACCCTACATTGTCGGTCTTTGCCGAAGGTTCCTTCCGGCAGAGGGCGCCCTCTGCTGCACCCTCGCCCTATTCTTCGGCAGCCGTGCGTGGGCTGCATATTGAACATGATATAGAAGCTTGAACAATTAATTTCCAATGTTATTCCTCAGGCTCCGTTATTTTGCCCATACATAAATCTCTCAAAACCGTTTTCTAGTGGCCATTCTGGCCCTGTTGTCAAACCTTTGGGGTATACTGTACCATACCTGTACTACGGAACCCCCAGGAAGACTCTTACAAATTTTAAGAAAGATTTAGGGATTTAGGGCCCCTAGATCAGAACTCCCCCGACTCCGCACCCTAAACTCTCGGTTCATCGTTACGTTTCGGTTCCAGAACCTGAAATCTCTAGACCCTAAACCCTACAGCTTGTTAAGGCTATATAAATATAATATGCCCTCAAAGACCCTTTAAAGCCCAAATGGAGCCTTAGACAACCCATAGAACGCCGTAGAAGCCCGTAGCAGTCCAAGCCCTATAACTTCTTTGGGCAGCAGGGTCTCTTGCATCCGGGGTTGCAGCCTTGTTTCGGTGCTTAGTTTGGATCCAAGGGTTGGGGCCGCAACTGTACCCCCCTGCAAACTAATGCTTTATGGTATAACCCTCAACTCTAAACCCTAAACCCTGAAGCCTGTGCATGACTGGATCTACAGGCAAGGGCCCGAACCGGGCTTCTGAACCGACAACTCGGCGCTTTCAGCTTAGGGTTTGCTGTAACTGTAATGCAGAGGCCTAAATAATTACTAAAAGCAGTCGTTAGGGTTCTTTATCGTTAGTTCCACCCCAAGCCAAGTTCCAATTCTTAAGGCCCTTCTGTTAAATCCCTATAGATACGCAATAGCCCCCGAAACAACCTATTCCAATTGTAGCCCCTCCGGTAGGTGTCCCGCCTCTGCTTGCTTTTGTGGTGTCTGCCGCTCATGTCGGCCCTCTCCTTAGAAGCTCCGGCTTTGGACGTCAGGGTTTACGGTGTAGGGGTTCAGGGTTTAGGGTTCAGGATTTAGGGGTTTCGGGTTTGGGGTTCATGGTTTGGGGTTTCGAGTTTAGGGGTTTGGGGTTCATATATGCCCGTGACATAATTTTCGGAGTGTCTTTTCTGTGCGTCAAGGGCCTGTCCGGCTACCATGACTAGTGATCTGGTGCTCGCATTACGCTAATTGGGATCCGTCCGTTCTTGAGTCTTTGGGTGCTATATGTATTATATATATATATGTACATGTATATATATATATATATATATATATATATATGCATACAACTATATACTTATATATGTATACACACACATAGAGAGATACATATATATATATATATATATATATATGTGTATATGTATATATGTATATATATATATATATATATATATGTATATATGCACGCATATATGTATATACTTCAGAATTAGGTCTCATACCCTAAACCTTAAACCCTAGACCCCAAACCCCTGAGTCCCCTCAAGCTCCTAAAGCCTGGGATCCTCACACTGGGCTTAAGGGGAACCGGAACCCTACAGCCAGCCCTATAGAAGCTGTGCAAAGTATTTGAAGACTCCAAAGTTCTTGCTGAAGTTAAGGAATATCACTGGAACTGTAGTGCTGTAGGGGGATCCATGTCGTGACTTACTGTGTACTCCTTAATCGAGGGATTTTGGAGTCTCTGGGTAGCCCTTCGGATGTAGGATCTCGGCTGTAGGCAGTAGGATTCAGGAGTCCCACCGTGCTAGTCTTAAGCGAGCGATCTTAGGGTTTCGAGTGTAAGGTTGACAGTTGAAGGTTCACGGCGCAGGGTTTACGTTCAGGTTTTACGTTTTCGCAAATGCAGGGTTTCATGATGGTTTAGGGTTGGCCGGGTTTATTGTTTACTGTAGCCCATGATTTAAAACCGTCGGCCGAAATTGGCAGAATCTTCAACCCCCCAAAACCGCAAACCTTGCGAGACCAAGTTTTTGTCGCGTGCGAACAAAAGGAAAGTCGTTTCTGTCCGGAAGGGTATGCAGTCAGTAACGCGGTCTAAACTAGTAGGGATTGGGGCAGCGCGTATAGGGGACTTCACCGGCGAGGTTTTCACTTTAGGATGCATGTCCAGGAGACTGACAATGCACATCCTACTTCAGATAAAGACTTTCATTCATAGTTAGCCCTGAGAGCCGTTCCCTGAACCCTAAACTTGAACCCTAAACCCTAAACCCGAAGGCCTGAACCGAGAGCCCCGCTGACCGTTTGCAAGGGCGCTCGAGGCTCCGACCGAGGCTCCCGGCCGTTTCGTCAGAACGGTGAGGGAGGGTAAAGCCTCCCGGCTTTTGGGAACGAAAGTGACTCGGCCTCACACTAATCAGGCCGGAGCTCCCCACTGGTTTTTTGGTCACACCCCTGGAGACCTTCGGCGGGTACCCCAGCTAGGTCTGCGGCCCCGGGCCTGCAGATTCCGGCACAGGCCGTGTGGACCCACAACCTGACGCAATCCATCTCAGCCATGGTTTGTTTTGAAACGTCGTCGTTTATGTGTCGAACTGTGAAAGGAAGCAAAAAGCAAGAAAGGCCTGTTTGAGGGGGTTCGGGGGGTGAACCCTCAACTCTATTTGAGAATAGTTGGGGTGCACGTACTTTTACACACCCTAAATCCTAAAGCCGAAAAGCCCTACCCGAAAAATCAAGCCATCGAAGGTCTCTGGTTCTGGGCTGCTTGCTCTGATGCGCAGCCGCTTGCACTGTTGCTCCTTGGGCTCAGCTAGGGATTAGGTTCATTACGCGTATAATTTTGAGTCACTTAGGGTTTAGGGTTTAGGGTCTACCAAGGTTTTGAGTGATTTAGGGTCAGGTTTTCGAGGCGTTTTGGGTTTCCGCACCACCTCATCAAGTTTGATGAGGGTTTGAGGTATGGTGAAGGACGGCAACGGAGTTAGGCTATAGGGGCCCGAAACCTGAAACCAAAAATACCAGAACAAACCATAAGCCCCAGACGCTACAAGCAGAAGCTGCAATAAAGTAGGCAAGAAGATACGGTCGGAGTCGATTAGAGCCAAAGACAGAAGCGGGATACACGACTTTGGATTGGGAATTTGCAAATAACATGTGCGAAGGCATCCATGGACAGACGTTCAGTCTTACAGAAAAACCGTTCACTTCAGGAGCGTACCTTTTATTTTCTGGGATATTCCTACATTCTGGGGCGTTGGAGTGTCTGCGACCTTTCATTGCCTCGTGTCTTTCCTATGGTCCTTAAACCCGAAAGCCCCTGTGGCCTAGACTTCCGCCGTCTCTTATGGCGCCCTGCCTTTGGGTGCTGGCCTGGTACGTAGGCGGGATTGCTCTCTTAAAACGGGTTAAGGGCTTAGATGTTTTTCGGGCTCAGGGTTAGGGGCTTGGGCGGTTTTGCGGACGTCGTGCCCAGTTTGGTTTGTGTTGAGGTTTGGGACCTTCATTGGGCTTGCCTAAATGAGCGGCGATTTTGCAATGAAGGATAACCTGCACCTACAAATTACAAGCCCGATTATAACCTTATAGCTAGACTTCCCATGAAGTTCTGAGTAGCGCCTATGGTGAAATTGCATACTCGAGGACGCATTAAGCCAGTTTTTGTAGTATAGAACCCTTAAGAAGCTTGCAGTAGTTATCAATCTTCTTCCTTAGAGATTTTTAGCTACACTATACTACATTATACTATACCAAAACCCCTAACAAGACTCCTGTGTTAGCTGAGAGGATTGATCGCCCAGGCATTGCAAGATCTTGAAGCAACTCCAAGTCCCCAACCCCTCCTTCGCTCATGTAACCTTACCTTTTGCCCAAGAATTCCACAACCCACAGCCCCAGAACACAGAGGTCTGAACAATCAGTGATGGCGCGCCCCATGTTTGTACGACGTTGTATTTTTGAATAATGTACCCCCCAAAAGCTTAGCTAACCATGCATCCCCCGATATGCAACCGCCCAGCACCCGATAAACACCTGCAAATACCACATAAAGCCTCTTCAGGCACCAGTAAGCTGCAACACTATGTGGTGCCCTTCATATTGTCCCCATAGTTCTTAAACACAAACAACCTATGATGTACCCCCAAACCCGTATTCCATGTATTAAGGTTGAAGACTTCTATAGTACACCAGCCCTCCGCGAGGACAGTCCCTGAAGCTGGGTGAGGTAGGGCTCCGAGACCTACGGAGTTTGGCGGAGCCCGACAAAGCAAAGGGCAGCTGAAAAGTTCTGACAAGTGAGCTCTTTGAGATGGCTTCTGGATTCTTTCGGTCGTTTATCCCAGAAAGAAGCCAGTCGAAATTGCTGCTTGAGGTTTGGGGGCTTCTGTCGACCCTAAGCCCTAAGCCCTCAACCCCAAAAGACTTCTTTCAGCATTTGCGTGTTTTTGAGGGCTTGGCTTGACCCCTCATCTTCCGAGCTTTTGCGCGGTTTCCCATCGAAGAACTTTCACCAGCAATAATCGTAATCGTACCGGCGAGAGCAATAGTTTAATATAGGGGCCTAAATAATTACCAATACCATTTTGGGGGTTCCTTCATATAATATAAGTATAGTATAATGGGCCCCAAGAACCCGTTTTAATTATTAAGGCCCCTCTATTATACATGTTGGCTGCGAGCGCCAGGCTGGCCCTAGACTACCGCCTAAGAACGAGCCGAGCCGTGGATCCTAGTGTTAAACTTTTGGCAATGAACTAAGTAGAACTATTTACAGGCTCTTGAATAATTACCAATATTATTGCTTGGGTTTTTTTATTATAATTGATAGCATGATGTACCCCGAACCCCGGATCCAATTATTAACGGCCCCTATATTACCTTCACGTGCAGCCTTCTCCCCTGCGCAGCAACGAACCTACGACGCTCGGGCGGCCGATGTTTTCGCTTGCGGTGTGCCTGCCCCAGCTGTTGCTACGAAGATCTGATACTATACTATCGCGCCAGGCCTTACTTGGAGGTTCATGGGTAGTTATAAGTAGAGTTAGAAGTCCCCTAATATGGGTTATAAGTACAGTTACCCTACTTATAACCCTACTTATAACTACCCATGAACCTCCAAGTAGTATGAGTATTAAGGCTCCGGTATCCTGGTGCACCGCTTGCAGGCAGACTGTTCGGAGCTTTTATGGGCTAGGGTTTGGGGTTCTTTGTTGGGCTATTTGGTTTGGAGTGTGGTGTGTGTTCATTGAGGCGTCGTTGTGCTTATGATTTTCTCTGCTTGGGGGAGACCTGGGCGTGAAGTCTGTGGGTCTTTCGGATTGTTCGCTACAGCAAGGACCCGGAAGCTAAACCCTAAACCTTAGGCCTTAGACCCAAAGGGCCCGATACCCTTTAATTAAGGAATGTACCTTAAATCATAATATGACGTCCCTAGTGATTTAAGGTACATTCCTTAATTAAGGGGTGTTGGGCTCACTGGTGACTCTCAACCCTAAACAGTTTGCAGCCTTCATCCGTCATCCCTGCAACCCTCAACTCAAGGCCACGAGATCCGAGACCCCACGTGCCACACCAACTCCCAGGATCTGCAGCCGAATAACCCTAAACCCTCAGCCCCCAAGCATAAGCCTCAATCCTGCAAGTGACTAAACAACAGTTTGGAAGGCTTCAGCTGGCAAACCTGGAGCCTTCAATACCAAAAGCTTACAAATCCCAAACTTACTTCAAAGCTCTAAACCTTCAGCCGATAAAACCTAAAGCCCAGAGCCTTTACTAAAGCCCCAAAGCTCCTTACATCCTAAGGCACACCATCCCAAGTGCCTGCATCCTTGCATCAAGGTCTGTGCCTACGCTCTCGCTATGGGCAGCTACCCCTGGGTGAGTACCAGGCCTTTGCATATTTCCGGTGTGGGGTTTAGAATTTAGGGTATTGCATGCGGGCCGCGGGCCTTCCTGGTTGGAGTAGTGTTTTGGGATGTTGCTATTCGCTATCCAAACCGCAAACCCCATTCCCTAAACCCATGAAAGCCCTATGACCGAAACCAATCCTCGAACAGGAACTACTAACCCCCAGAACCTACAGAACCCTTGGACTTGCATGGAATCCCTTTCCCAGGGACCGTGGCCTATGCTGGGTGCCTTTCAGGTTCCTTCAGTCCTGACACCCTAAGCCCTCAGAGCCCTAAGAGTGCTGAGAGCAATCCCACTCGCCCACTACTTATGGGTAGTTATACGTGGGGTTATAAGTCCTAATATGGGTTATAAGTATAGTTACCCTACTTATGACCCGACTTATAACGACCCATGAAGCTCCAAGTATACCCTGCCCCCTAGACTTTCGACCGCTAAACCCTCAACTCCCAACCCCGACAACCGCCACACTAATACCCCAAACGCCAATCCCTAAACCCTTGCTTCCCCAACCCTTAAATCCTTAAACCCCAAGACCCTAAACCCTCAACCCTTGAGAACCCCCGATAACCCTTAAACCCTAAACCTGAAGCAGACTGTAAACGGAGAGATTCGGAGGCCGGGTGCCTGCTTGGCTTTCGTCTTCGCCCAGCGCTTCGGTCTTCAGGCGCCTGTTGCTCTTGAGGGATAAGGGTGTAGGGATTAGGCTTGAGGGTTTAGGGTTAAGGCCTTAGGTTTTGGGGTTTAGAGGTTAAGGGTTTAGGCGAGGGTTTTGACATCGGTTCGTTGTGTAGGGCTTTAGATGTGAGAGCTTGGGGTTTAGGGCTTTGAATGAACAATGAACACGTAATTTATGGAGTTTAGGGTTTTGGGCTCATGGAGTTCAGGGTTTAGGACTTGGGGTTCTAGGGCTGAGGAGGTTGTATAAACGTTTTTGGAAGTGGTGGTCTGGTGGTCTTCCAGCAGATGTCTCGAGGAGTCGGTCGTCTATAAACCTTAACCTGCCAAACCCCATTTTTTTGCATGTTCTTGTTATGAACCTCAATATGGAGTTTATAGGGGCCCTACAAAAAAGTACGGCTTGGTAGGCTAAGGAACGTTTCAAGCCGAATTCACTTCGCAGGCAAGCTGGGACTGAACCCCCTGAACCTTCACGAAATCCCCACACTTTAAACCCTAAGCACCAGCTACCCCGGGACTCCCAAATCCTCTATTTCGAGTTTTAGAACAATCTAAAACACCGAAACGGCAAGCCTACCGAGCCAACACAAGCGTTTTGAAACAAAGCTGAACCCCAACCCCCAAAAACCATACAGTGTACGATCATACGACCGAACCTGCTTGCGGAGCACATATAGCCCTCAACACACACTTCAGAAGCGCGACTAAGCACACAAAACCCTCAAACAACACTATACAAACCCGTAAGAGACCGTACACGAGCCTATACAAAACACCACAAGACCCTAAACCTTAAATCCAAAAACCCATAAACCCAAGCCCTAACAAAAGCTCCCGAAGACCGCATACCCCCACAACTCTATTCTAATTATGAAGGCCCCTACACTACAGTGAAAACCCTGTATAAGAACCCCGTTCGGCGAGAGCAGGGTACCCTAAGGTTCTTAATTTCCATTACATGTGATTTTGCCGTTCGAGCAGCTAGGGTAGGCTCAGGTTCCTAACCACGTTCTTATCCGGACCGAGGTCTCGGGAAATTTACTTTTGGATTCTACATTTCCTTGTGGGGGTGGATGGGCCATGGGGGTCTGGAAAATTTAGTTTTCAATTCTAAATTTCCACAGCTCTTCGGGTTGGAGCCTTGGGCCTGTAGGAGGCTGTGAAAAAATTAGATTTCAATTCTAAATTTCCACGGTTTGGTGCCAAGGGCTCTGTTTCGGTGCAATGCGAGCTGCGGGCTAAGGGGGTGCTGTGCTGGAAACCTTGGACTCTAAATCCAGCAGTCGTAAAAGAAAAAGTAGTGAGTAGTACTACTACCGCTACTGCTGCTACTGCAGGGAAGCACAGGGCTCGGAGTCTGGGTGGTTTCCTAGTGCCTTGGGGTGCTGGAGGTTTGGGAAATTTAGCTTTCAATTCTAAATTTTCAGATTCTGATACCAATGGGGATCGAAACACGAGCAGTTACCTCTCGGACCCATGCAGAGGGTTTCTTGATGTGGAAGGTTGGGAAATTTAGTTTTCGATTCTAAAATTCCTTGGTGAGGGAAAGCACCCAAAACATTAAGAACCTGACCCAAAAAACTAGGGTACCGTAAGGTTCTTAATATTGAGGCAACTTGAATCTGGTGAATTCCGCTTTGGGTAGGGGCTCAGGTTCTTAAACAGTGGGTTCTTATACAGTATTTTCACTGTAGACCCCTATTATGGATCCCTTAGCTATAGGACCCTTTTTGACCTCTTTTATTGAGGCCCCTACACCATAGACCCCTATTATAGATCCCTGAATTCTAGAACCCTTATAGATCTCTTTAAAGGAACCCCGGAAAAAGAGAAAGGCCTTGATGCAACGGAGACGACTGGCGGCCCCTCGCCTGCAGAGTTCTTTGCTTCAGGCCTTAGCCCTAAACCCCGAATCCCTAAACCCTAAACTCTAGAATCCTAAACTCTAAAACCCGAAACCCTAAACCCCTAATCCCTAAACCCTAGTTTGCTTCAAGTCATAGGAGGCCAAAAGGGGTTTTAGCCCATGGGGGTTTAGTAGGGATTAGGGTTCCCATAATAGGGTTCATATTAAGGAATTCCTGCCCCAGGATTCTTAAACCCCCCTTTTGGCCTCCCATCAGTTTGCTTTAGGTCATGTTTCGGGCTTTGTAGTTATTTGGGAGTTTCCGAAAATTAGGGGTACCTTGTTTTTGGGGTCCTTATGTCAAGGATCCTACTATTTAGGGTACTACATTAGGGTCCCCTATTTTCGGAAACTCCCATTTAGAGTTTAAAAGACGGAGAGCGGCGGGCATCTGCTAGGATAAGGCCTTATAGGAGTTTTTCAGGGCTTGTAGGATATTGCGAGTCTTTTTAGATGGTTCCTTTCTCGTAGGGGGTTTAGGGCTTCGAGTGCGTACGGTCTAAGGTTTTTGGCTTTTGGGGGTTTTAGGGTTTAGCGCTTTTATGGGTCTTCGGTGCGGAGTTTTTGAGGGGCTTTGGGCTTGAGAAGTTCCGGATCAGGAACTGTAGGACTTAGGTTCAGGGGCTAGATTTTTGCAGAGAAGCCCGGCAAGATGCAACGTTCCTACAGGGTTGGGTCTCCTGGGCGGCTTAGGGCTTGTAGTACCATCACGATGCTAAACTGATAATGCTGTTGATGATATAAATCCTGCACTATCCAGAATAAGGAATATACAAAAAATCCCA